TCAACTCTAATCCAGATTTTCCTACATTGAAATTGATATGTCCCTTTATTCCTGTACACTTAGAACCATTCTTTAAAACGTCTAAAGGTTCAAAACATTTTTTATAGTATCCTGGTAAAAAATAACATTGTTCCATCAGGACCGAAGAAATGGAATAGAGTCTTTGATTTTAGTAACTTTTCTTGGTTTTTTAAGATTCCCTTTTGCTATAACTACTAATACAAAATTTCAGTGGTTTTAGTATAGAATAAATTACCATATTCTGACAACAAATGCTTTCCTATTAAAACTCGAATAATTGTATCTCCTATGTGTACACTTTGCAATTCCGAGATTGAAACTATTACCCATATTTTATGGGAATGTCAAGAGGTTCAGAAACTTCTTCTTAGTTTTGAAATTATTTTAGATGCACTCATTATTCCTTTTGATTTAATTAAAGAATCTTATCTATTTGGACTTTTTACACAAAATGTGAATGGTAGAATTGATAATGAGATACTCATTATTTTTAAACATTATATATATAAAATGCATTGTCTTCATAGCTAAATGCTAAATGCTTTGGTTAACACAATAAAATACTACCATAACATACAAAGATTTATAGCAAATAGCAAAGGAGACACTTATAGAGAGAAGTGTGAAAAGGAATGGGAAAAACGGGAAAAACTTCTTGTTTTGTAAAAATAATATTCTGATATCTGTCTCCTAGGCTTTGAAATAAATTACAGAATCAATAATTTTCTTCTATTTCATTTATTCATAAGCTTATGCTCAAAACTTTAATAATCCCCCCCCCCCTTCTCTCTCTCTCTCTCCCTTTCGCTCTCTCTGGCTCTCTCTCTAAATAAAAATAATAGCCTCTTTCTCTATGTTTGTCTTTCTCTCATCTGAATCATGTAATTTTGTTTACAGTTTCTAGTAGCTTTTCATTTTTTTGCATTTCCTCGAATCTTTGCTTGTTTGTGTATGTAAGAGTGTGTGTTTGGCTGGGTGTGAGTAAGGACAATTCTATATGGATGACGTGTGTAGAGTAGAAAGATTATGTGTTATTGTCAAACTACGCAAGTGTTAAATATTGTAATGCACTTTTATTTTATATGAAATCAATTCATCATATCTGAATGAACGACTGATGAAGGATGACTTATTGAGTGATCAATGATGAGGATAAGTAATCGTGATAATGATGTGTAATCATATGAGGATAATGATAAAGATGATGATTTAATGATTGATGATAATTAGGGATACAAGATATACGTTGGCTGATGAGGAATGACTGATCGATTAATTGGATGATGATGATGATGATGATGATGTGTAATGATATGATGATGATTGTATATAAAGAACGATAAAAGATTATTATGATGTGTAATTGTGTGAGGATGATGAAAGTGATGATGAGTATCTTATGTTTTGTAATTGTGTAATATGATGATAAATTAAGAATGATGATTAATACTGATCCATGCTGTTGACTGAAGAAAGGTGATTGATCGATCAATCGATGATGATGATGATGATGATGATGATGATGATGATGATGATGGTGATGATGGAGGTAATGACATCACAATGTATGTGAGTGAGTGGACGTTTTTTGTTGTTTTATGTATCGATAAAACTTGTGGAAATATAATTAAACACAAACATAAAAATATATATTTTGTATAACATTTCTGGTTGATCTAAAGGCAAACAAATTGTAATTAATCATTGTATCTATAATTCAAAGTTGTATTTTACGGGGGAACATGTAATATATATTGTTTTGATTAATGGCCGGATATGCAGTCAACTGAGTTGAAATTGTGAGTGTTAGTGAACTCAATTTAAATTGAAATAGTGAAATGTTAATAATCAGCGTGGGGGATCATTTAAAATGTCCTTATCCGCTCTGCGTCTTTATTTTCACATGCTGATTTTTCCCTGCCACCTCCTCTCCACACCAAGAAAAGGTTCATTCGCTTAGGTAAAATCGTTACAACAGTTTCGTATGCAATATTTCGCACATGGAAATTTATAACGATTGAGTTTAGGCGTCACATATTTGTGTAATTTCAACTTGCTTGAACGGCTTCTTTGGGATGAAGTGTGATCGGCTATGTTCCTCTAGTTGTGAAAACAGCATATGCACACAATATAAAGGGAAATGTACAGGTATGATAACTATGTCATTGGAATACATTTTTGAGGTATTCTTTAATATTTTTGCATATATATTACAACTTTTGATGGCAAGAACAGGATGTAAGGCACTTCTACAAATCTAATCAGAGATAGTTTTATTTAATTTTTGTATTTTCAAAGTTATATGGTAAAATTATTTATATAGTTTCTTATGTTTGACTAGTTTTAAAACTACCTGAAGATAAACACAATACTATTGTATCTTCATCTTAAGAGAGTTATATGTAAACACATTATTTATTACATATTATTTATGGCATATTCAAGCCTGCGTCCCTTTTAATCAGATCTAGTTTGAACATATACCTTATCTATCCTTATTTTGTAAAATGAACGTTGTATGTATTTTTACCTCAATTAACTGCTGATATTGTCATTTTAGTATGCGCACCCGGATATTATGGTGTTACCTGCAACACAAGCTGCCCGTCCAATTGCAAAGGGACTATATGTAATCAGACCAGTGGATTATGTACAGGTATGTTGACAATTCTAGGTACAGACTATGATACTATACTAAAATAAAATCATAACTTTTCCCGTTCATTAGTTTGGATCCTTAAATGGTCCGTTCAACCAAACAAGGATTTTATTAAATCATTGCTCTCTATTCTCTATTGTAAGGGTTATATCAAGGTTTTGCTGCATTCAGCAAACTTTTTGAGTATGTATACACATAGCCGCTTGGAAAGATTTCTATTGAAAAAAACACTCCAAAAAACGAGGAAAACTACGATGATATTGTCGGCTATTTAGCGTAAGGCTCATTAATCGTCAGGCATTTAATGGTGATCCCAAATGGTGTACAATCATAACGAAACGATGTTACGTTTTTAACGAAAACCATTACCGATATCTCAATAGCATTTTTAGTATAATAATAATAATAATAAGTGGAGGTTGCTATATACCGCTTTATCACAACCTAGTTCATAGGTCGTCTCAAAGCGGTTCACAAACTATTAACCGTGTTTATAGGGCCTTTGCAACTAGCCATTACATTTCTCAACTCCCTGGGGAGCATACAGCCGGAGCTGCTATTTCGGTGTTAACAGCTAGCTTTCAACAATTCTAGCACTGCCCTACCACGTACTCATTTACAGTAGACTGAAACAAGCGGAGTAAAGTTTCTTGCTCATGGATACAACAAATTGCAACCCTTCGGTCACGTGCCCGGCGTCCTACTACTGGACTTTCGTGCCTCCTTAGTCCTTAAAAACCGAATAATGCTTCATCAGATGAATTGTTTCTGAAACGGTTGTACAGTGCTCAGACGGATATCATTATAATCGTGCATGTTTTTTCTTACATAGATGCAATATTTGATATGCTGTCGTCATTATATTTTGATATTGGGATAAAGGAATTTTCTGGAACTGTAGATAAAATGGGCTATGTGCAGCACCTGTCATATTGAATAAATCAAAACATAACGCTGATCTTACAGAGTAAATAAGGTGAGAGTTCGGTGATACTAGTAGTCGACCTTAAGTTCGCAGTTTATCGTCGAGACATGAATGCATGCTAAAGTATTTTGCAGCGTAGAATATTACGTTTTAGAAACTTGGAATTGATTATGGCAGAGTAAACCAGAAAGAGTTAATGAGTTTGAGGTATACCAAGTATCTGACTCCGTTCGACCAAAACTGTATTATGGGACACAGTTATGCCCAAGTTTACCAAAGACTTGATATATTACGTCAAAAGGACCATTTAAATGCATATTATAAGCACACCAATTCCATAAATCAAATAACAAAACAACGTATTTTATTTTACAGCCTAAAGCAAGGTAAACATCATTGGTAAATGAAAATTATATTTAAAAATAGCTGCATCCAGACAATAAATAATATCAATCGGCACACGATTTTGAAATATTTGTATTAATTATAACAAAACACCAAAAAAGTGTACCAGCAGTTTTAGCTATCGATGTTTTCAGATAAGTTTGAAGTAAAAGGGACTTTTTGGTCATTTGTGGCATCTTTCTCTTCAGTAGTGTATATGAATTAAATATATGATAATCTACTCAGGCGAGGTTAATCTCGTAAACAACCTCTATAAATGAAACAAATAGGATGAGTAGCATACTCAGTGGTAACACAAATGTAGGTATTTGTAACACCCCTGAAAAAAAATCATAGCTTTTACAGACTTGTCTGGCACAATGTCGCGACTCGCTATGTGCCAGAAGTTGCTGGAAATGTTCAGGTACGATGATGCTCAAAATCAGTAAGTTTTCTATTTGCCAATTATTTGACTTCATTGGTAGTAAGAATATTGCTCGTTAAATACGTAATATATGTAAACGTTTTTTGTTTTTCCGAGTAAGAAGTATGTTACCCTGTGTTCTTCTCTGCAGTTGTGCTCGTCTCCACATAATGCATTGTAACTTCTTTGTTTTGTTGCCACGTTACATCGGGTTGATCCGGTGGTAGGTCACATTCCACATGTCCTATGATTAGATAATAAAGTGGCGTTTCTAGTACGCATGCATCTTTAGTTCACTGAAAATAGGGTGTATCTAGGTCTTATTCCGCAATAGGATCACAGAACCGCGACCCCTCAGCTAATGTACAAATCTAGGTTCGATGTGTCGCTTCGAGTTTTTGGATAAGATTTCGTAAAACACAGTAATAAACAGATAATCTAATAGCGTCTTCAGTAATACCAAACATATATCACGTGTGTGGCTTATATTTTGATATCTTTCACAAGTACGCAGCGCTGTTCGATATCCTCTATGTATTGGCTATTTCTGTTAATAAATTTGATGACTTATCAACTGACATTTTCAGAATGTGCTGTTGGATTCTATGGCGGTTTCTGTAGTCAGCTTTGTCCTATTAAGTGCAAGAACATCCTTTGTAACCTGGACAACGGTCAATGTAAAGGTAAAACATACATAATTTCATCAAAACATTCTATGTACCTTGTAAATAATGATTTCTTTACAGATTACAAGATACATCAAACATCTCGGAAAGTCGATTATTACCTGTAGCAAGCAAAGTGACATTGGACCAACAATCTCGTAGTAAACTGTTAATTGATTCGTTATTATACCATTTGGTTATGTTGTAATGACGTGTAAAGTATCTTGTTATCACAAAATGAACTAAGGCACACCGCATGATCAAATTATTTACTTAGAAAGCAAACATGGGCTTATTATCTCCAAATAACGACATGCATTCAAGGTTCATACCACAGATTGGGTTTCCTAATAACGATGAAAATATGCCTCACATTTCTGAAACATAGACATTTCTTTGTACATGATGCAGCAATAGGTGTTATGTGGTCTTACAATTTGAAAGGGAAATACATAAAATTGCTTCACACTTTTATCTATTTACTGATACAACATAGATTATCTTAATTGAGAAATATATTATAGTCGAAACGTACTTTCAATACTGACAGAATTATGCTGATAAGAACGAATCTTTTTCACAACAAGTGACAAAGCAAGTATTTTTTATAATTAGTCTATTTGGTTATCAAAGGTTTTGTTAAGCGATGGTGACTATTATGATAAAGGACCAAAACATCATGATTTGTATATAAAGAACATATCACAACCGATATTGTGACATTTGATTAAGATTCTGGGAGGATCTTATTTGTGTTTTTTAATATCCTAGAATGTGTAGCCGGACTATATGGCACTGAGTGTAACCAGTCTTGTCCTGTCAACTGTCAAGATACTTTATGTCACATAAGTAGCGGAGAATGCAAAGGTACGATCGTTTAGTTGTATCAGTGTTTAATTAACTTGGAAATGACTTGAAACTCTTTTATACTTTTTTTCAAAATTTGGGAAGATACTGGGATCGTATTGAAAGCGTGTGCTTATAAATCAAGTTCCATGCAGGAAACGTTTAATCGATAGAAAATTATTGTGAGCAAATACTAATATCCCTTAATCACTTGAACATATAAATAGAAATAGATAAATAAATAACTAATTAAAACGAGGATAACTTTTAATCAGTTTTTAATATGCAATGAATTGTTTTTAAAAATAACAATGGTACTTGATACATTGGTAATTAGGGATAATGATAGTGACCAAACAAAATGTTGAGAACTTGTTCATACTGAGGAATCAATATTTTGATACTTGTAAGCATAATTCGGAGCTAAATATTTACTTTGTAAAAACACATTGATCCAATGAAAAATTGTTTGATCAGGTATTTTTAACTTTATCTTTTTGGATTAATTTGAATATCAAAATAATGATAAATGACTACTTACTTAGTTGATATAAACTGAAAATTATTTAGAACTATTTCCGCTAAATCAAGCAGTTACTTTAAATTTGTTTTCGTCTTAACGCCAGATGACTATAAATACGATTAACACGACAGAGAAATTATTAAAAGTCCCCAATGACATGTCAGAGGGACAATTTCAACCTATTTTCCTGAAAAAAAGTACGCCTATCAAATCAAATTCACTGATGAAAGTAACTATTTCGTTAATACTATACTAGTTTACTTGTTTCGTTTAGTATTCAAGTGGTGTTTACCACTTGAATACTAAAAAGTGTAATTCTAACAAATCACCTGCATGTACATCATGAAGGAACAGATCCTAGTTTGGTAAAAGGGATATTTGATTTGGACGAAAGCTCCTTTACAGAGACCTGATTACTTATTTACTACCGCACTCTGGTTCTATTTCTATCTAACACTGTATATACATAATGTTCTAATTCGACCATCAGCTAAAAAATGGTTCGGGGCAATATTTGAAATCATTAAATCGACATTAAGAGCTAAATAACATATAGACGGAGCCATTATGGCGTTACAGTGTATAAGGGATCGTATTTGATATTGATTGATTCTCAATCTTAAAATAGACAAATGTTTCCAAGTTTAAGTTGACATTGTATTTAAGGCAATGAGCAAGTTTCCATGTGGCAATCATAATTTATTTTTGAAAACATACCCTATCCAAGTGCACATAATTACTTGGTCGTATTCTCCTCGAAGTTATCTGGGGTGCCCATCTAAATCTTTCCTTTTTATCATATTTGTCATTGCTTCATTGATTTTGACATCAACATACCGTTTTGTTCAAAACGTTGGTGTAGCCTCTTTTTTATTCTGAAACCTACCAACCAATGTAGCATGTACAGTACCAGTTATTCAGGATACTTTATGACATCTGAGTATGTTTGCGCTTGTAGTTTGTGAAGCCGGTTTTTATGGAAGCCAATGTTTAAAGTCGTGTGGCAGTTGTCAAGGTGTGAGTTGTGACAAGGACACTGGAGACTGTGCGACAGGGTGCACAGATGGATGGACTGGAAACGAATGTGACAACAAGGGTAATATTCATATGATATCCCTACCATAAATATATTTGTGACTTTATCCTCTAAAAACAATTTCTAAAAGTGATCTCCTCAGTGTTAAAGGATTTAAAAGATTTTATTCCAACCTAACATGTAGAATATGATATCAAAGAAACATCCGAATTCGAAAAATGAAAAGGAGGGACAAGAAACAAAAATGATAACTAAGAGAAAATGTATGACATACGCAGTACAAATCCATTACTTTTGATGCTATAGTGGTACTTATAACGAATGGGGACTCCACAGTCGGAATAGGCGTCGGATCCGGAGTGGTTATACTGGTTCTGGTCATCGTGATCATTGTACTGGTCAGACGTCGCACGATGAAGCGCGGTGACACCACAAGTTCTTCTCATATGACAGATATATCATTGTCGAGAACTGCAAAAGAGCTAAAACAAAATCAAGGTAAACAGCTACTGCCTTTGTACATCCACATTGGAATTATTTAACGTTTAAAGCAAAGGTTTAAAACATGAGAGTTTATAATGAAAAAAATACAAGTTTCCAAATGAATTGATTTCTGAAAAGAAAACGCGATACCGTGAATGCACATTGTTCCCACTTTTAAACCAACTTCAGACGGTGTTAGGATATTTTAACCTTACGACTCATTAGCTCATGTTAATATCATATATGTTTGGTGCATTTTCCAGATAATACCTACGACGAAATAGCAACGTGCAACAACGAACAAACCATTGCGCAGATTTCACACAATGAGGCAAATTATGAACAGCTTGGACGCAGGGAGGTGGAAATTCCAAATATATACGCGACAACAGATGTTGACAAGGAAACATAGGGAAATGCTTCTTGTAAAATGGACAGTTTTATCATTCAACACAACGTAACCTTGGTGCTGGAACTAAATTACCCACATATAACTTTTGTTTTGATGAAGTCGTCTCTTAACTGAACATAATAGTAATTAGGGTGATGAACATTGACAGTTGTGTAGGTTGTTACTGTTCAGTTGTAAATTCTGGTATGATTTTTAAGTTGTCAAACTATCGGAATGTCAGTTTTGTGAACCCAAGCATGTATCGTATATGCTGTCAATGTTGAGGTTTAATGTATTTTCATACTGACTTAGTATTTCGTCGTTCTGTACAGCAGTTTATATATTTTATATTACTGTAAGACATTTGTATTTATCGCAGTTAACCATTGCAGTAAACTTCATATAATTTGTCATTTTACGATCCCAGAAGTTATTTTGGGGGATGGATGTTTGGGAGTAGAAGTATAAGTTGTTTTGAGCAAGTTCTCAAGCAGTGTTAGATAAGCACACAGTTGACAGGTGGTTGACTAG